AAGTTGAATATTTCCAAGTCACATAACCTTCAAATTGACTTTCTCTTTGCAGCAGAGTTTTTGAGTTTGAGCTAAAACAAGCTGCTCTTTTGTTCCTGAATGTTAATCCACCTCCATCTGATCCTGCAGATCTTCATCCTTTTCTTTCAGACATTCTTGTGGTTCTGTTTGAACTGGCAGTATCTGCTGATCTTTGGTCCATTGCATGGGTTCATACGATTGTGATGTTGCAGCATATTGACTGTGAGCTGCATCATGAACATTCATATGATCACAATTTTGTTTTTTCACATACTTTTTTGGCTTTTTAAAATTCTGATGCTTGCTTGCTCTTCTTTCTTCCTCAACTTTCTGTTTCTTGACTGGCAGTGTGCAGACCTCATTCAGTTTCAGTGCATTTGGACGATTTCTACTCTGGTTATTCTTTTGATCAAAATCACATGTTCGTTGCAGCGGCTCCTCCTCCTGTTTTTCTTCCACACAGACTCCTCTCTCTGTGAGACTGACAGATAGAGCAGGGCGATATGGCCAAAAATATTTATCACGATATATATTTGAAAATTTGCAATAACGATATAACCGACGATATAATTGATGCGAGACGAAATACAACTCCACAACATTACTAGCGCAAAAAGACAACCTTCCATTTATTTTCACTTAAGAAGCTGGTTTTTATGTACATTAAAGCTTTATAAAAATGTAACAGTGCAAATGCAAATTCCTTGCTGAAAGTTTAACCAAAAGGCATTTCCAGTAGAAATGGGCTGACATATCCTGAGCATAACCATGTATAATATCCACTGAAGTTAAAAAGAGGTGCTTTGCAACATTAAACTGCAGTGTGCAGTACGTATTTTTCGGACCATAAGGTGCACAGGATTATAAGGCACATTAAGCGAAACAAAGCAGTCAGATAAATCAAACTTTATTAAACTCATTCTTCTTGCTTCCTCCACTTCTGTACCATTGTTTCATTAATGTTGAATTCTCTGGCAGCTGCTCTATTCCCATGTTGTTGCAGTATATTAATGACTAACCTCGTATTGTGGATGGATTATCTCAGTTGTTCTCCTGACTGAAGTTTGGTCCGTTTACAGCATCCTGCCATGCGATTGCATTTGTCTCTAACCATGAAGAACCTTCACGTTAACTTTTATAAGTGGAAAAGTGTTAGTGTTCGTCCTCCAGCTTCACTGTTTATGTTATGCTAACATAGCTGTGTCGCTAGCGATCACGTAGCACATCATTATATACCAGCTAGCCCAACTTCAGTAACCCTACAAACGTCACTGCTGTTTAGTTTCCTGTCTTCATTTATGTTGGAAGTGATAGCAGAGCTGTATGTTTGATTTTTTTCAGAAATCTCTCAGTCAGAACATGCTACATCATGCTTAGGTAACTAGCGAAACTAGCGAGCTAACTTCCGCTAGCTTCCTGCTAACTTCTAACTCCGTTAAATGTAATAACTTTTGTTTTCATGGATGCCTGGAAGTTAAACTTTATAGTTACACCTGGTAAAGCAGCAATGCTGATCGTTTTATTAAAGATGAAAGAATTTAGACAGTTTTTAACTCTCAGTGATGCTGCAGTGTTCGTTTGACCTGAAGGATACGGAGTTTAGGACCCAGATTACTCCCAGATTTAAGAGCATCTTAGTCCGACAAATACGACAATAACAACGGCCACTTGCATGTTCTGCAAAAAATGTGCTTTGTTGTGTATCTGACGGACAAACACCAAACCAGTTCCACATCACTGAAGTTGCACCATTTTTACAAACCAATTCTGGTTCATCTGTTTCACTCAACAATCGGCCATGTGCGTATGAAAACAAAGGCACTGTGCATGCACGTTTTACTCCCATTCTATCGCGATATTTCATTTTCCTATCGTTGCCTAACATTATACCGGTATTACCGTGAACGGTATAATATGGCCCAGCCCTACTGACAGATTCTTCCAGCTGCTGTTTTTCATTTACGTTCACTTGTTGCTCCGCCTGCAGCGCTCCTTCATGTGGGAGTTGTAGTTTTTCTCTCTCCTTGTCCTTCCTCTTTGTTTCCTCAGATCTGTATGGAAGCCCGTTTCCGCCACTAAAAAAAAAAAAAAAGGATCCATAACTCAAAATTTTGAGTTATTTTCTTGAATTTCGAGTTATTTTCTCGAAATTTCGAGTTATTTTCTCGAAATTTCGAGTTATTATCTCGAAATTTCGACATATTAACTCAAAATTTTGAGAAAAGCAACTCGAAATTTCGAGTTAGTGCTGCCAATCAGTAATCTACGTGAATGACGTCATTTCCATGTTACCCGGAAGCTGAAGCCCTCAGCTACAAATGCTACAGCTAAGCTACCGGTATTACATCCAGTCGTGAATGCACAGATTGCTGAGTGTTTTCAGCCTGGCTTCACAAATGATGTGTTATTAGCTGAATCACATGGTGTTACTATCAGCAAACATACTTTAATTTGTTGGGATCCGTTTTTGAGTGCGAGGTCCTGCGCCATATGCTTCCGGGTAACAAGAAAGCGACCTCATTCACGTATATTTTTGATTGACAGAGCTAACTCGAAATTTTGAGAAAAGTAACTCGAAATTTCAAGTTATTTTCTCGAAATTTCGAGTTATTATCTCGAAATTTCGAGTTATGGATACTAGCTTTTTTTTTTTTTTTTGTGGCGGAAACGGGCTTCCATAGATGTGAGCCCTTCATTAACCTCCAGCTTCTTTCCCTGAGCTCCTTCTTTCCTCTCTGCTCCTCTCAGTTTCTCTGGCTGCTCTCTGATTTGTTCTGGGCTCTGTTGACATGTTTCCTCTGGTTGTTTCTTGTGGTTTTGTCCTTGTATTTTCAGATGTGTATCCAGTGGAACTTGGACTGATGAAATCATGCTTTCTGTCTGACCCCTCTGTTCCTCTGGTTGGTTTTTATTATCTTTCCTTATTTTCAGTTCTCCCTCATCTTTCTCTCTTTCCCTTCGTGTCTCTGATTGAAGTCTCCTCTGGTTTTCCTCTCTCTGTTGTTCTGCCTCCAGTTTTTCTCTCCATGTCTCCTTCTGTGGCATAAACACAGAATTTACTTTGTTTACTTCACCACTGTTTTCCTCTGCTCTCTTTTTCTCAGTGTCTGACTCTTTCATGTCCACATTTCTCTCCATCTGTCTTTTTTCTACAAGCTGTTCTTGTTGTCTCTCTTTTTCTCTCCGTGGTTCCTGATCACTGCTCAGATGAAAAGAAAAATTAAAGGACTTTTCTTCTCCTAATAGCATGGGCTCCTCTTTATGTTCTTCTGTAAATGGTGAAAACTGAAGTCCTGAATATTCTTCAGCCTCCATCAGATCTTCATCCTTTTCTTTCAGACATTCTTGTGGTTCTGTTTGAACTGGCAGCTTCTGCTGATCTTTGGTCCATTGCATGGGTTCATACGATTGTGATGTTGCAGCATATTGACTCTGAGGAAAATTGTCAACGTCCATAAACTGATCATTTTGTTTGTTCACACACTCTTTTACCTTTTGGGAATTCTGATGCTTCCTTGCTTGCATTTTCTCTTCCTTGACTGGCAGTGTGCAGACCCCATGTGGTTTTCTGCTCTGGGTGTCGACCTCCATCAGCTCCTCCTCCTGTCTTTCTTGTAGACAATTTTTTGTTCTTTGATTCTTCCTCTCTGTTTTTTCTTCCTTGCGATATTGTTTTTTATTGTCTTTCCTTATTTTCAGTTCTCCCTCATCTTTCTTTTTTTCCCTTCGTGTCTCTGGTTGAAGCCTCTTCTGGTTTTCCTCTCTCTGTTGTTCTGCCTCCAGTTTCTCTCTCTGTGTCTCCTTCTGTGCCATAAACACAGAATAAAGATTGTTTACTTCACCACTGTTTTCCTCTGCTCTCTTTTTCTCAGTTTCTGACTCTTTCATGTCAACATTTCTCTCCATCTGTCTTTTTTCTACAAGCTGCTCTTGTTGTGTCTCTTTTTCTCTCCGTGGTTCTTCATGTGTTTCTTGTTTCATTTCAAACTGAGGCTCATTCACAGTCGCAGCAGATGTTTTTGTTCCTGGACTGTCGGTGTTGCTTCTTTGCTCTGTTTCTTCCTGTTTTTGTTTTTTATCATGATCATTTCGTTGTGTCTCTTTTTCCTTTTCTTCTCTTCCTGTCATGTCTTGTGTTTCTACTGTAATCAAAGACTCTTTGTCACTAACAGTTAATGGATTTATTCTCTTTTCTTGTGGCCTGTCAGTGTCCCTTGTTTGAACTGTTTCTGTCACAGGCTGATTTTGTTGTGTTTCTCCATCTTTACTTCTCTGCTCTCTGATGTCCACATTATGTGTTTCATGTCTTCCTCTCCTGCTCTGTTCTTCATGTGTTTCTTGTTTCATTTTAAACTGAGGCTCAGTTTTAGTCACAGCAGATGTTTTTGTTTCTGAACTGTCAGTGTCCACTTCTTTGCTCAGTTTCTTTTTGGTTTTTTTCATGACCATTTTCTTTTGTCTCTTTTTCTTTCCACTGTTGTTCACATCATCCTTTTCTTCTCTTCCTGTCATATCCTGTGTTTTGTGTTCCATCTTAATCAAAGACTCTTTGTCATTAACAGTAGATGGATTTATTCGCCTTTCTTGTGGACTCTCAGTGTCCCTTCCTTGCTCCGTTTCTGTCTCATGAACATCGTGTTGTGTTTCTCTTTCCGATTTAAAGTTTTTCTCTTCTCTGTTGTCCACATCATCTTCTTCTTCTCTTCCTGTCACTTCCTGTTTTTCTTTTGTTTCTTTTTCTATTGTAATCAAAGACTCTTTGTCATTAACAGTAGATTGATTTATTCTCCTTTCTTGTGGACTGTTTATGTTCTTTATTTGTTCTGTTTCTAAAACAAACTCATCTTGTTTGGTTTCTCTGTCATCTTCATGTCTTTGGTCTTCTCTGCTGTCCACATCATCATCTTCTTCTCTTCCTGTCATGAGTGGTTTGCTTTGTTCTTCCACCACTGGCATCCCACTGTTTTTAGAGTTGATCATGTTTTTCTTCCTGGCCTGTTCAGCTCCATCCTCCTCACTCTTCTTTTTTTCTGTTAAATAAAAGAAGCAGTAGAAATGGATGAAGAACAATATGAAACAAAGTTCTTGTTGTTTTTTGGTAAATGGGTAAACGTGAGAAAAAATAAATAAATTACACATTAAAGTATTTGAAGCAACCTCAATAAATGAGCAGTGATTGAGATTTAGTGCCATCTAGTGGTGAATTTACAGATTAAAACCAACTGTTTGCCTTGCGGATGCACAGAAACAGTGACAGACATCACCAGTGTTGGGGAGTAACACAATACACGTACCACCGTTACGTATTTAAAATACACAAAATGAGTAACTGTATTCCGCTACAGTTACCATTTAAAAAGGTGGTATTCAGAATACAGTTACTCTGTTGAAATAAATGGATTACACGGCGGTATTTTCCAGTTTCATATGTTAGGCTATGTCCTCTCTATTTTTGGTAATTCCACATCGTGGAAACCAAACAAAACACTCATCAAGAGGCTCTAATGTCTGTGTCTCATGTCACCTCTACTTCCGGCCCGCATAATGACCTGAAGAAATATTTTTAAAAGTGATTGTTCAAAAACTTATTCAATATGAAGGCAATAGGCAGAGTGTTACAGGCACAGCCCTAAAGAATGTAGCCTCATGGTCAGTGTAGCCCAGTTGTAACTAAGCTATTAAGACTCGACTGCAGCCTTTCAAAGCCTCTCTCTGTCTCTTGCTAGCAGAGTTGACCCAGACAACAAAGTAAAGCTAGTTTTCAGCTACGAGCCCAAAATGAACCAGACGTATTAGCCAGAGGTCCCTTTACTACGGTTCAGAGCTGCAGACCTGTTTTATATACGCGCGGAATAGTTTTCTATACGGGATCACTGCAAAAAGTCCAGCCTTACCTAATGGCCACCCTACTCTTACTCATTTTATATTAAGATTTAAAAATCTAGTTGGTATTGGTATGGCGAGTATCCTTCAGTAATAGTAATAAATCACACAGCCATAGTACATTCATGTAGTTGTAAAAAGAATTATAATATATTAAGTAATCCAAAGTTTTCTGTTACGTTACTCTCATTGAGTAACATAATGGAATACATTACAAAATACTGTTTGGGGCATGTAATCTGTAATCTGTAGTGGAATACATTTTAAAAGTAACCTTCCCAACACTGGACACCACACATGAGTAGTCATCTATATTCTTGAACTATTTGGCTCCATCTATCTTAATGACCTCATAGTACCAAATCACCCCAATATAACATGTTGTCATGAGACTGATATCTAAAATATTCCCTCTCTCATGCTGTCTCCCTCCTCTCCCTTTGTCTTTAAACAACAGTAGCACTGTTTCCATGAGCACCCTGTTTATCAACAGCTCTGGAGACACTTGTTGTTAATCCAAGCCTCAACAGATCCAGTATGGAAATATGGGACCGGCACTGGGAGTACATTGATTTTTTGGGGGAAGGTTTGCGTCCTGTGGGTTCCTAGTTGTATGTTCCTAGCCAACATACATTCTTACAGCCAACAAATACAATACACTAGAAATGTTGGTGGATTTTGAGTTTCTCTACTAATAAACAATGATGAGCAGACTCTGTGGAACTGAACCATTTTTAGGGTTAAGAAGTCAACAATTCTATTCTTCAGGTGATTGTTGTTCTAATAGATCCCTTTAAATCTTTTACACTGGACTCAGAAATATTTTTAGAAGTAACACATAAAATCATTTCTTGATAGATTGATTGATTATATGAGAAATAATAATAATAATTATTCTTATTTACGAGGGTAAAACACAATTATTCATCATTTAGAGAAAACAATGACTTACTGAATTTGCCTCTTCTCCACTTCCATGCAAAGAAAACTGCACCAATTAGAAGAAGAACAACAGCAACACTGACAGCCGAGGCAACAGTGACATTTGGATTACTGATTGGACGACTGGGTGGACCAGAAGGACTGACCAAGAAGAAATCATCTGAAATTAATAAAACAATTCATAATTCATTGTTTACAATATATATTAGTAAAATATCATTCTTTGATTCATATCTTTAACACTTCTTCTCTCAGACCTTTATGGGTCACCAAATCATATGTGTCCATCTCTCCCTATCCCAGCATCCTCCTCTGTCACCTCTCTTACGCACTTGCCATTGCTCGTTGTCGCCCCATTAAATAAAACATTCGATTTACCTGGAACATGTATGTGTGTCTCTCTGCGCTGGTTGGTGTTCCTCTGTTGGACTCTGCAGGTGATGTTGTTGCTGTGTCTCTTCTCCACAGTCACTCTGCTGCTGACAGTATAGAGGTCATCAGGACCTCTGAGGGTCTCTGTAGGTCCAGCAGAGAGGTTTCCCTCACCGTCCAACCACAGCAGCTCAGGCTCTGGATACCAGCCTGCAGACTCACACTGTAACACCACTCCACTGATGGTTTTATTGAGGCCTGCAAAGCTGATAACAGGTGAGGAGACGGCACCTGGAAAAAGAGGCTTGTCTCACTTCACAGCTGGTGGACTTTGAACATAGTTCTGACTTCAATCTTTTCCTAACTGATAATGAGTTGTGTAACTTAATGAATGATAAGGCTTGTTTACTTTGTTGTAATATTTGTAATACTGGACACTACTACCAGAGAATACTGGAGAATAGAGAGATTATTTCTCAGCATAAACAAATGTTTTTGTGATATGTACCAATTGCTTGCCATGAAAATTGTCATGGAAATTGAAATATTGTCTTTATCTTTCTCTCTGCTACTAGCCTCTGAGGTGTGTGTTATGGAGACAGATTTTGGCTTTTTCAGGTAACTTCATGGTTCAATTCTTATCAACTCTGAGTTTCAGAGTTTTCTATTCTTTTGGCTAATGTTAGCCAATGTTAGCTGATGTTTAATAGTAAATGAATTGTTCTTAATAGAAGAAGCTAAATAACTTAGACATCCACTTACTAACAACAAGTTGAACATTAGAGTCTTTACGCAGGTCTGGAACAAAGCATCTGTATTTTCCCTCATCAGACGGTTTTACTCTGGAGATCTTCAGAGAAAGTTCTCCATGTTTCATTTCATTAATAAACAGAGATGTTCTGCCCTTGTAGGATGGATTTTGTAACTCAGGTCTCTCCGGCCACACATGGACTAATCTGAGGTCCAGGTCAGGTCTACTCCACTCCACAGTCATGTCTGAAGCATCCATGGTTGGGTAGAGGTAACATGGCAAAATGATGTCATTACCAATGGTTGCAGCAACTGGCTGATTTGCACCAATCACCTCTGACTGACCTGAGACAACAAAGGCTTCTGTTTTTATTTCACACAGAAATGAACAACAAACCTTGTTATTACTGTAAGCACATAACAGTTTGGTATAATTCCAGTGAGTCAGTGACTGGCGAACTTAACTAATGTGGTAACTTTGAATGTCTAAAAAAATAACATAAGCAGTTATGGATATTATTAATTAAATAATATAAATATCACAGATGGGGCCAGTTCATCGTGTTATTCCCAGTGAGAAAAGTAATAAAGAACTTAACCTTGAGATGAGAGTATGTCATGGCTGCACTTACAGCCACACAGTGGCAACATAAACCATATTAGTGTAGAGGCTTTTACATAACATTGCATTTACATTTGTGTTTAAATATAGGAATTAATTTACAGGACAATGAAGTTTGGTTTAGAATTAATTCACATATCCACATAACACTGCGTGTGTTACTGCGTTACTAAAACCGTGATTTTATTTTTGCGACAATGTCTCATGACATTGACGTAAGCGAGTGCGACGTTCATGACAACAGATCAACAATGGATAATAAACTGAGTGCGGGAGAGAGTATGACTGTGCAGCGTTTAAAGCGTGGAAGTACTGACCTTATTTTAAGTTTGATTCCATAAAAAGTGACAAAAACATTAGTGTCCGTTGTGCGTGGGAAGAAAACTTCTTTTTACATCGAAAACCCCCCCTAAACTTCCAAGCAAGCTCCAAGTGCGCTACCACGTAATGGGAAACTCACAGAGAAACTCGCGGATTCTTCAACTGACCGCTGCAACACACCTGCACCAGGGTAAACCTCCGCCTACCCTACTCCTGGTTTACAGGTGAAAATAGAGCAACAGGACCGCTAGTCTTTGATTTTATTTATTTTCTGCTGTGTTTTACTTGCATCTATTTGAAAGACTGAGTGTAAACACAAAAAAATATTTTATTTTATGTGCTGGAATGTGCAGAAAATAGGTTTAAATGTTAAACTAATTTCTTCAAGTCAGAGAATATTGCATATAATTTAATTTTTACTTGATGCATAAATTTAAAAGATTAAAAGTAATAAAACAAGTTTTATTGTTTCATTAGTTTTTTATTATTTTTTAAAAGGGACTTTTCCATTTGATTACATTTTGTATGATCGATTATGCAGAAAAAGTAAAATTGGGCTGAAAGATCTATCGCTTTATCACCTATTCAGGTTGTAAATCGTGTTTTTAAAAAGTAACTAAGTAACTAAGTAATTAATTACTTTTGAAAATAAGTAATCTGTAAATTAACGGTATTACTTTTTGGGGGAAGTAATCTGTAATTAGTTACTGATTACCTCCCTGAACCTGGTTTCTGCCTGTTAAAAGGGGATTCTTTCTTCCCACTGTTGCCAAAGTGCTTGCTGATTGGGGGTCATTTCATTGGTGGGGTTTACTCTGATCTCTCTGTATTATTGTTATCTTTACCTTTTAATACAATGCACCTTGAGGCAACTGTTGTTGTAGAAATAAAACTGAAATGAAATTAATTGAAACAAAAGTACACTGAGAAATTTTACAAGAAAAAAAAACATTAAGGCAGTTTTTTAAACAGAAATAGATTTTGGGAGTCCTATGATATAAAATAAATACAGTATCTAAAGTTGCTTCTATGAATAAATTTGCTCATAACCTGCCAGAAAAAAAAAATACTTGCTTGTTTTGGATCTTGACTTTGTCTCTTTGTTGATGTTGCTGGCCTTTGCATTTTATTACTTTTAGAGTAACATTTTGTGTCGGTTTTTTAAACAGTGTATGAGGTATTTGTACATGGTATATGGAAGGCTGTTAAGATGTTTTTAGTATATTATATGTGTGTGTGTGTGTTTGTGTATGTTTATGTTTGACCACACACAGTGCTAATAAATTATTATTAGTAGTATTATTAGCATCATTGTTATAGATTATTAAAGATTGTTATTTACTTGCTCTAAATTGTAGAATATTTAGTTTATTTTGGGTTTGGTACATTTTTTAATGACTGTTATTTGTAATTTCATTTTCATTTTCTTTACACCACTAGAAGGAGATCCTTTCAGATTCAAATCACCATGGTTAACTGGAGTTTGTTGGATTTTCCTCTGTAATTGTAAAGCTTCTACGTTGGTAAATGTAGCACCACCACTGTTTGTGTGTCACCATTGTTTTTGGACTTCTGGAACTCATTGGCGCACGTGATTATGGTCACGTGATCCATGTCAACCCTTGACTGTCTAAAAAGTAACTCATTTTTAACTCATCAGACATGCACTGTCCAGACTTAATCCTTAATCTGAGAAACTGGGCCCTATTTCAGGAAGCCGGTTTAGAAAACTTCTTCCAAACCTTAAACACATTTTATCTTGTTCACACAGTTTTGACATCATGTTGTGGAGCCACTTTTCAGTAAAACTCTAAACAGTCACTGAAACCCATTTTTCACAGTGATTTACTGATGACATGGGATCGAAGCAACTGGAGGCAACAACTAAACACGACTACAACAAATACAACACTAGTTAAACACAACAATTCAGGATTGTTCACACCTGCTGCTGATTGCCGATATCATTTACATGCATTGAGCCAGAGCCAGGAGGCCTGAGCCAGCAATGCATGGACAAAAAGAGGCAGGGGAGGTCAGGGCCCTGTTTCAGGAAGCAAAGATTAAGCGAGTCACCATGGAGACGGAGGGAAAAAAGGCGCAGTCAATGTATTTTACAGCGCTTGAGGCCGAAATTCTGATGGCAGCATATGCCGATAACATGCAAATCTTGCAGGAAAAAAGTAACACAGCCACAGCTGCGAAAGAAAGGGAGCATGCATGGCAAAACATAGCCGACAGAGTCAATGCGTGAGTGTTAATTTAAACATTGATCTAGGGATTTCCACCCATTTAACACGTTATTTTATTATATTTCATTTTTTATTTTATACATTTTATTTTGTGACGTGATGTGAGCGCAGGTGCAACCCAACAGGCCCCAAACATGCCTGGCAGCAAGTAAAAATGAAATATAAAAATATAGTCCAAACAGGTAAGGTGTATTATGAGCCATAGTGCTTGGTCTGTTTGTCCGATGTAAATCAATTGCTGTTAGAGGCTACATTAATTTTCTTTCTGTAAGCACTTATTGAAATTATCTGAGCACATTACAAGTAAATATTTGCTTACTCTGTATGCTCAAATGTGACCCGTTATAGCCAACAGAAAAAAAGCGGAGGCCCGAAAGACAGGTGGGGGTCCTCCACCACCACCACTCACAGAGGCTGAGCAGTTGGCTTCCACATTTGTGATAATGTTGGCAGCATCACATATGATCTTCACAGTGCAGAGAACACAAATTAGCATCCATTACTATAATGAAATAATTTGTTAGTTTGAAATGCTACAGGGAACTATGTACCTGCACATTAATGCTGTGGAAAGACTTCCTGTTCACATAGTCTCCTTCATTGACTGAAGGAGCAATGATTGGAATGTGAGTGCCATCTATACAGCCAATCACGCCTGGGAACCGTGAAAATAAATGTAAAATTTAAGTAGTAGTTCAAGTATCACCACATCATAAATTAAGTTTCGTTCATCCTGCTACCTGCAATTTTGTGGAATCCCTCTTTGATGAATCTTGTGGGTCTATGACCGGGGAACACTACAAACCCGTACAGGAGACGTTTCAGTGCAACTGTAACATTCCTGACTGCCCGACAGACGGTAGCCTTGGAAACGTGCTCAGCGTCATCAATATTATACAGGAAGCTCCCGTTTGCAAAAAACCGAAGTGCAATACAAATAATATGTACAGAACTGAGAGAATGTCCGCGATGTGTCACATGAGCAATATTAGGCCTGAGGATGTTATTCAAATAAATTATAGATTGTGCTGAAAAACGGTAACGTTCACACAGGAAATCATCAGGCAATGATAAAATGTCCAAACGCGCTCTAATCACTCTCTCCCGGCGGAGAGCTCTGCGGAGAATTTGGGCTTCAACATCTACTGGCTCTTCAAGGAAGGGGCACGCCATGTCCGACACTTCCTACAGTCAGGTCAAGGGTTAGTTGAAGTAAACCTGCTAGGGGGCAGGTTAGCTTCACGGAGTGTGTCGTCATAGTAACTCATTCAGGATTAATCTAAACTCGCTTTGTGAAACCGAAAACCCAGAGTTTTCGTTAACTCAGGGTATACTTACTCAGAGTTTGCACTAAACCGGCTTCCTGAAACAGGGCCCAGGGCCCGTTCTTCGTACGTCGCTTACTACATCCAAGATCAAATGACACATCCAAGATCAAATCATCGCGCTAACCGTGAGCTCGCTAATCCGGTTCCCCGAACACACCTGCTGTTGACGATTACTACAGCTGGACGCAGGAATGTGACATCACTGGGCGTCGTAAAAGGGGCTACGCATCGATAGTAGAAACATTGATCGGCAACCCGCTGATTGGTCGGCGAAAATGTCGAAGGGGCGTGCTCGGTATTTTCCGGCAGCAGAGCAAGAACTCTTGAGTGAGGGATTTCAGGAGTTTCAGAGTTTAATTAAAACGCAAGAGAACACTGCAAAGGCTGCAAAAGCAAGGAGAGAGGGCTGGCAGAAAGTTGCTGACAAATCAAACTCGTAGGTAATTTAATAATAATAATAATAATGGATTGGATTTATATAGCGCTTTCCAAGGCACCCAAAGCGCTTTACGATACCACTATTCATTCACTCCCACATTCACACACTGGTGGAGGCAGCTACGGTTGTAGCCAGGCTGCCATATCGCGCCATCGGCCCCTCTGGCCAACACCAGTAGGCGGTAGGGTAGATCTATCATATGACACTATATTGTCCAATATCATATGGCATTATATTATATTATAATATGTTATATTATATCCCCTTTCACATTAGAGCCACAACAGGACCCACAAGAACATGGGAACAAGTAAAAGTGGAATACAGGAGTATTCTACAGAATGGTAATATTTATCTCTTAGATTGCTTTGCGTCTCTTGGCAAGGTAATACTGGCCTGTAATACTCTGTTAGTTTGTTCATAACAGCAACCAAGAAAAGGGCAGAGGAAAAAAAGACAGGTGGTGGTCCTGCACCCCTCGTCAACAAGTTGGTTAAGTAAATAATACCCTCACGGGAAAATCGATATCTCTCTATGAGCACACTGTCGCACTGAGCTAAAGGATCCTGTCTATCCCGCAATATACGCTGAATTCTGAGGACTCTCCTTATCAATCTTGCACCTTCCGCAATGGGCTGCTCGCGTATACGGACAGGACATGGCTGCGACA